AGGGACCCTGCCCAGCAATGATGGAGACGGCACTGGGAAGTCGCGGCCACGGAGCTTCCGAGCCGTGTGCGGCACAAATGGACAGATGTGAAGGACAGGCACGAACCCTGATGCAGGCTCGCGGCTGTGCTGGTGCTCACGGTGCTGCAGGACACTGCACATAGTGACCTCCACCAAGAGCAGATGAGGCCTCACAACAGAACAGGCTCACAAAGACCAAGATGCCAACTGAGCAAGGGCTGCCTGGACAGAAGAAAGCTGACCATCAAGACAGGACAAGACCCATGTGGAATCCCACTCAAAACACAAGGAGCAACCGGACAGCAAGACCAAGCCACAGAGAGCACTGACGACAAATCCACCAGCTGTGAAGAGATGCAGGCAAGACCCACACCGGCTCTGGGAGCACAGCACGAGGCTGCGTGAGACCCGAGGGCTGAGATGACCCCAGCTCGAGGGCACCACCAGGGCCCCTCCAGCTGAGCACCACCAGGGAAAAGCCACCAACCACAGGAGCACACAGGCAGGCTGTGTGGGGCCCAGCACTCATCATGGCCTCTGGCTCCTGTTGCTCTTCAGGGTGCTTGAGTCCCAAAGGGTGCGGTCACCACTCAGTCACCACGTCAGAAAACAAAACAGAAGACTTTCAAAGTGAACTTATCTGGGGGCCGGCACTGTAATGTAGAAGGCTTAGCCTACGCCGGCGGTGCTGGCTTCCCATATAGATGCCGCTTCGAGTCCCAGCTGCACCACTCCTGATCCAGGTCCCTGCTAATGCGTCTGGGGCAGCAGCAGCGGATGTCCCCACATGGAAGAAGCTCCTGGCACCTGGCTTCAGCCTGGCCTAGACCTGGACATCGTGGCCAACTGGGAAGTGAACCAGCGGATGAAAGATAGCTCTGTCTCTCTCCATCTCCCTCCCCCCTTCTATCTCTGCCGTTCAAATAAATGAATAAATCTTTTAAAAAAAGGAAATGCAGAGGAGACTTGTGAACTGCAACCTGCATGTAGGATTCAGGACAGGCAGAGTGTCAGGCACTGTGATCTCCAGAGGCAGGGGAGGGAGGGCTGCCTGGGAGAAGAGACAGCTCTGCCCCTTGACCTGAGCCCGCCAGGACCACAACTCATTAAGCCCAACATTTATTTGGTATGATTTTCTGGATCTGTGTTTAACTTCAAACAAAAGCAGCACATTAATAATACGCTGAATACAACAAAAGCACGTGAGTTCCTAAAAACGCTCCAGGGAGAAGGGGAGGTGGGAGAGGAAGCAGAAGCAAAAGCAAGCCCACTTCTCCCCACGGAGGTCACAGAGAACAGGTTCCTTATTCTGAAAAGAGGACGAGCAGCCATGCACGCTGCCCCTCACAAAGGAACCAGAACTCTGAGGCACCCCACAGCCCTAACAGAGGAGGGGAAGTGCCTGTGCACCAGGAATTCTTGCAGTCGCCACAGGAGGACAGCAGGACTCAGGTGAGGATACTAAGCCTCCAGGCACAAGGCTGCTGAACAAGGCACACTGGTGCCAACCAAGTCCTACTCCTGAGCAGCACCCTTGCTGTGATGAGCCCCACCATAAACATCTTCAGCACTTGAAGACACTCACACCTACAGATCAAATTTCTGGATGAGGAACTACAGGGAGCGGCAGAAAGAGTATAAAAAAGCTATCACTAAATCCAGAATCAGACCTGGTGAACAGCATGGGAGATGGGAAAAAGGTGTAGCCCAGAATATACTACAGCTACAAGAACGGTGGCCTCAGAGGCTCACCACCAGTAGGTCGTAAGGGACGCATGTGTCTCTGCACCTGCCCAGGCACAGAACAGGCTGCGTAAAAGACACAGGAGATGTTAAGACACAGCAACAAACATGACATGGAACTTGTCTGCATCCAAACAGAGTAAAAAAATGAAAAATGGTGACACAGGTATTCAAATATGGTTTAAGCATACATAATAGTGAGAAAATACTATTTTTTACATGTGAAAATCCATTGTGTGAAGTGAGGAAATACTCTTTTTTCCCTTTCTCTTTCTTTGCAAATGATCTGACAGACAGAGACAGAGAGACAGCGTTCCCACTGCAGGCTCCCACAACAGCCAGGGCAGGGCCAGGCTGAAGCCAGGTCAGGAACTGAGTCCAGCTCTCCCATGCGGGTTGCAGGTATCCCAGTCCTTAGCCGTCACTGCTACTTCCCAGGGTCTAAATTGGCAGGAAACCAGAGTCAGGAACAGAGCCATCAAACGCTGATGTGGGATGACAATGACCTCCCGACTTCTCAAACACCAGGCCCTTTCTTTTTTGCTAGAGACACAACAGCACCCTAAGTGACACCAGTCCAGTGACAGAGGGGACACAGTAATGTGAAACTGTGCTCCCCGTGTTTTCACCATGGAAGGGTATTTTCAAAGGAAGCAGGCTGTGTGCGACAGTGACAAAGCTTCAGAGGTGAGAAACAATCCCATGAGAAGCCTGTAGGAGACTGTGCCTGGGGTAAGAACCCAACACCACCAGCCACCCCGAGCTAAACTGCACACAGACGGGTTTCTTACCCTGGGGAGGTACCTAGGCTAGAAGTTCGGAAAAACACGGACATAAAAATCAGAGGTGAACTAAATTTCAAACTGACAATTTCTTCATTATACCTCCCCTATTCCTGTGTTAAAAAGAAGAATGTGAGGGGTCGATGCTGTGGTGCAGTGGGTTGAGCTACTGCCTGCAGTCCCAGCATGTCATATGGGCTCTGGCTCAAGTCCCAGCTGCTCCACTTCCAATCCAGCTCCCAGCTAATGGCCTGGGAAAGCAGCAGAGGATGGTCCAAGAGTTGGCCCAAGTGGAGGATGGCCCAGCCCCAGCTGGTGCAGTCATCTGGTCAGTGAACCAGGAGTGGAAGATCTCTTTCTCTCCTCACTCTGTAACTATGCCTTTCAAAAATAAATTAGCTCTTTGAAAAAATAAATAAATAAAAGAGAATACAAGGAGAGGAACAGGGGTTTCTAAAGCATGGTCCCTGGACCAGCAAAAACTGGGAATGTTGTAGAAACTACAATTCCGGCCTGACCACCTCTGCTGAACCAGCATCGGCTCTGCCAACAGCTGTGCAGGAGTGCGCCACCGACCCCTTCTGCCACTGCTGTGCCTGGTGACCCGCCCTCAGGAAATCAGTGATGTGGACACACCGCTGGGTCTCTGCCCTCACTTGTGGAACTGTGAGTGATGACTGTTGGAGCTGCATGTGGAGGGTCCTCAGATGGTGTCCGACACACAGCAAACGTTGGGGGAGTTTTTAGTATTTCACTTATTTTGGCCGGCGCCACGGCTCACTAGGCTAATCCTCCACCTTGCGGCGCTGGCACACCAGGTTCTAGTCCCGGTCGGGGCGCTGGATTCTGTCCCGGTTGCCCCTCTTCCAGGCTAGCTCTCTGCTGTGGCCAGGGAGTGCAGTGGAGGATGGCCCAAGTGCTTGGGCCCTGTACCCCATGGGAGACCAGGAGAAGCACCTGGCTCCTGGCTTCAGATCAGCGCGGTGCGCCAGCTGCGGCGGCCATTGCAGGGTGAACCAACGGCAAAAAGGAAGACCTTTCTCTCTGTCTCTCTCTCTCTCACTGTCCACTCTGCCTGTCAAAAAAAAAAATTTTTTTTTTCACTTATTTCTACAACTTAGACTAAAGGCATAGGATTGTCCTTGGTGAAAATGGAAACCACACTGCAATGATAGCCTGGCAGCCATCAGGCAGTACACAGACCCACAGGGCTACCTGGCGTGCTGACCTCTTCTCCCCCAGAGAACACAGGCCCCACGCCAACAAGCTGCCGCCAGCCAAGCCACAAGGCTCAACTGCTGAAAGAAATCATGTTAGAAACAACTGGAGAGGCTGGCGCTGCAGCTCACTTGGCTAATCCTCCACCTGCGGCGCCAGCACACCAGGTACTAGTCCCGGTCAGGGCGCTGGATTCTGTCCCAGTTGCCCCTCTTCCAGTCCATCTCTCTGCTGTGGCCCGGGAGGTCAGTGGAGGATGGCCCAAGTGCTTGGGCCCTGTACCCACATGGGAAACCGGGAGGAGGTGCCTGGCTCCTGATGCAGTGTGCCAGCTGTAGTGGCCACTTGGGAGGTGAACCAACAGAAAAAGGAAGACTGTCTCTCTCTCTCTCTCTCTCTCACTGTCTAACTCTCCCTGTAAAAAAAAAAAAAAAAGAAAGAAAGAAAGAAAGAAAGAAAGAAAAGAAAAGAAAAGAAAAGAAAAGAAAAGAAAAGAAAAGAAAAGAAAAGAAAAGAAAAGAAAAAGAAAGACACAACTGGAGAGTGGGTGCAGGCACCTAAGAAGCTGGTGTTTCACATCGGCAGGCCCAGGTTCCATACTTGGCTCTGGCTCCTGACTCTAGCTCTCGCTAATACCCACGGAGACAGCAGTGAGGGCCCCAGTGGTCAGATTCCTGCCGTCTGCTTGGGAGACCCAGACTGAGTTCTCAGCCCCCAGTCTGAGCCCCAGGCATCATGAACATTTGAGGAATAAATCAGAAAATATAAGATTTCTGAGTATCTCTCCACTTTAAAAAAAAAAAAAAAAAACTGGAAGAATTCTCAGAAAATGAAACTCCCTCTGGGCTCTTGGGAAGGAGTGGAGTTGGAGGCCGTGACATCCAGACTGAGTCATGATGACTGCCTACTTGTGGTACCAACGCTCACCTCCACCCCACCCTGGTGTCCGTCAAGCCTGGGCAGAATCTGTTCCCCTCTGCCCAGCAAGGTAGGACAACCTTGTGACAGTGTCATTGCAGGAGAAGTCCACACAGCCTTCCTCTCGGCTATGATTCTGACATCCCCGCTTGCTTGCTGCTGGCGTTTGCTTGCTGGTTTGAGCAGTCTGCTCAGGATGCCTGCTCCTGCAATCACCCGCAGAGAGCGGGAGCTACAGGCCTGTAGCTGAGTGGAAAAGGCTGTGCTCTGGGGGCACTGGTAGGTTCCACATTGCTGAAACGAAAGTAAATGTCTTACTTCGTGGTCCACACTTTCGGTAGCCATGCACTGGCTGTTGGCCAGGGTGGTGATCTCGCGGCTCTTGGGGGTCTCCATCCTGCAGCTGCAGAGGGGTACTTCCTGGAGGCCATCTGTCTCCAGCGCATCTGGACCGTTGGCCAGCCCTAAAGTCACACAGACATGCATCAGCTCATGAAATCCTGATCTCAAAAGGGCCAACCAGAAAGCAACCAATCCTAGTCGGCAGCCACCTCACATGCAAGGAGACAGCCGCGGGCGTGTGACAGAGGCAGTCGGCCCTTCAGTCTCAGACGATACCGTCAGAGCATCGTAACGGACATCTGTGTCTCTGCCCCTGTCAGGCACAAAGATCATACATGCATCCATCTCACAGCACACGCGCCAGTCTCAACAGGGAGAGACCGAACCTTCAACAGCAACACCGCAATCTGGATTTTCGCACAAAAACCATCACATGCTAAGCCTTTGTTTTCTTCTCTTGGTTTTAGAATGACAGCCAGCAAACAAAAGCAAAAACAATTTGGAAGATTTTAATGATGGGTTGTTTATTATTTAGATTGATATTCACCTACTCCCACAGTCCAAAGAAAGCATGTACTAATCTACAGGATGGAAGAGTGAGGAAACTGAGAGAAAAGTCAGCAGGAGGATAAAACGTTAACGTTTTCTCTCAGAGAAGACCACGGCCGACACAGGAGCACAGGCCCATATCCCAGCCTGGCCCGGCCCCGCTGGAGAGCTGCAGAGCTGGCAAAGGCAGAGCGCTGAGTGGGGAGAGAGGCTGGGACCAGCCAGAAAGACCCCTGGGGTCTGAGTAGTCATAGACACTGTTGTTTCCCAAAGAAGCCAGAGCCTTTCGAGTTCTCTCTCATGCAAATAGTCCAAGTAGAAACATAAGGTGAATCAATGCATCAAGCACTAATCATTACCTCTCTTGACTAAAAATCATTCACTCTCGTCTTCTTTTCCAAAAGTTCACTGCTGGGGCAAGCACTGGGTACTGCTTAGCAAAGTGGGTGCATGTCCCACAACAGAAAGCCTGGGTTCAAGTCCCAGCTCGGTTCCCAGTTCTGGCTGCCCGCTAATGCATACCTTGGGAGGCGGCAGGTTAGTTCTTGGATCCCTGCCACCCCCATGGGAGACCAGGACTAAATTCTGGGCTCCTTGCTTTGGCCTGGCTCAGCCTCAGGGCATCTGGGCAGTGAACCAAGGAATGAAAGATGTCTGTCTCTTTTAACAGCTAATTAATTAAGTCAAAATACACTGTTAAAGTGAATTAAAATGGAGGCCAAGCACAAAGACAGGTTGAGCAGACAAAGCCAGTTAAGCTAACAGGCTACACTGGCCTTGCTTGATTTGCAAATATCAACAAAGCTTCAGGCTATTTTTAGTAAATACCTGCATTCAAGAAAAATGAAACTGAAGTTCAACCCAGCAGAACCAGCCAGCAACTGATACAACCAGATTTTACAAGAGAGAAGAGGAGCCACTGTACAGGCGCTGCCCCTCGTCAGGCACTGCCCTGACTGACCACAGTCAACCACTTCCACATCAGAGCTGCTCAACTCACAAACTGCTGCTGCTCCAACTCGGACACCTGCACCCAGCAGCAGTTTAGAGAGGGCGCTCCTGACCCACAGAGCCCTCACTGCTCTTCTGTCACATTCCTCTGCGATCCCTGCAACGGAGCCTTGGCCCACAGAGCCCCCAGACCCCCGTGAAGGGTCAATGACGAAGAGCACAGAGGGAGCCAGGGCCTCGTTTCTGACTCCAGTTCAGGGCAATCCTCTATCATTCGCTGCCTATCTACGTTACCTCCTCCCAAACACATGAAGGAAAGAGTGGGCTCAAACTCAAGCTGGGGCATTGCCAGTTCAGAAGTGGGAGGGCCGCCGGGGCCGCGGCTCACTAGGCTAATCCTCCGCCTTGCAGCGCCGGCACACAGGGTTCTAGTCCCGGTAGGGGCAATGGATTCTGTCCTGGTTGCCCCCCCTTCCAGGCCAGCTCTCTGTTGTGGCCAGGGAAGGCAGTGGAGGATGGCCCAAGTGCTTGGGCCCTGCACCCCATGGGAGACCAGGAGAAGCACCTGGCTCCTGCCATCGGATCAGCGCGGTATGCCGGCCGCAGCGCGCCGGCCGCGGCGGCCATTGGAAGGTGAACCAACAGCAAAGGAAGACCTTTCTCTCTGTCTCTCTCTCTCACTGTCCACTCTGCCTGTCAAAACACACACACACACACACACACACACACACACACACACACACACACAAAAAGGTGGGGGGGGCCAACGACACAATCCTGCTCAGAAGTTTGGTTTCTTCAGCAGGAAGACAGGCAGACAAGCCGTAAAGCAACGCCCACTGTGTCTGCACACTCAGGGAGCACGGTGAGGGCTCACAAGTCTCCTGCACTCGGGTGTGCTCCTGTCCCCAGCAGTGAGGAGTCAGTCACAGCTCCCCCACATGACCACCATCTCCTGCCACCTCCCACTTCTGGTTATCTCAACCCCAACACAGTAGACCCAAGAGCAGAGAAAATAAGAAAAGATGCGTACACAGAGGGGACTTCTGGTCTTGGTACAAATATTTCCTAAGTCTAAGGCTCGAGCCGGACCCCTGTAAGCCACAAGCACAATGATCACTCTTTCCCACCTGAGCAGCGCAGCACTCCAACGAGGCCCGGCTCTGCACCCTCCCGCAGGACTCCCCAGTTGCACACAGCAGGTCTGAGCAGTAAGGAGTGACCAATGCACTGATTCTCTAAAGCAAAAACACCACCAGGGAGCTCAGAGGGCAACAGACGGGTCAACGCTGACCCACCGCAGGAGGTAAATGGGGCGTCAGCCTGAGATCACCAGTGTGCTCAGGATCCCTGGTCCTCCAACTACCCACAGAAGGTAACTGTCCCTCAGCCTTTCCTTCCCCTCCGGCTCTTACCCCGCTCCACCATTCTGCCCTCAGCTCCTTGTGTGAGATAGGAAATAGCCGTTTTTAGGTGAGGGCCAATAGATGCTATCTCACTCTGTCTCCATTGCTTGGCACACCCAAGGTCACCACACACAGGCAACAGGCAGTCTCCAACGTACATGCTGGAGTGAAACTGATCACACGAAACAACATGTCTGCCACATTCAAATCTCTAACTTCCAGAGCCTTCCAAATTTACACGTGTGACCAGAAAACCCAAACGCTGAGTCTGCTTAGCCAGAAAGAAGGCACAGGTGACGATGGTGCGGGACACTCGAGGTTTCTGCTCCACTGGCTGCATGAAGAAAAACTCCGTTGTTTCTCTGATGGACAAGCCTAAGACTTATGTCTTAAGCTAAAGATATGATCTCCTAAATTACATGGACACCATGACATCAAACCTCCCTAGCATTCAAATTCTAATAAGCTGGCTATTCCTCATTTAGGAAACGATTCAGAAAACCTGTACAGTAGTCCACAGCCTACACTTGCAGAAGCATGTGGAATAAAAATCACTACAGCATTATCTTCCCCATGTTTCCAATGCATCTTCTGAAAGAATGTTACTTTTCCGTGGCATAAGCTTTCTAAGTAGATTAAAAAAGAGGAAAACTTGAAGAGTAGAAATGTGAGACGTGCTGAATGCTGGCATGGGAGCAGCACGCAGGAGCTGCTGAGGCGCAGCACTAACATGCAGTCCACCGCACAGCGAAGCCCTCAGCACAAGACACCTCCACCCACCACTCCGCACCAGAGATCGTCACAAAGCACAGTGTCCAAAGTGATGTCCCATGATTCCTGCTTCTTCACCTTCATGTGTTGAGTGGCTTGTGTCACACCCAGGAGTCACCATTCAGGGACTGTCTACTCATGTCTAACAGGCTGACAGAGGAGGAAGACCACAAACCCAGGGCAAGATGACACCCAGGCTCACCTTCTGCTTGTGAGGACAGAGTTCCCTTGACACGGAGATCCAGGGAGTCCAGCGAGACTTCCACATACCCAGCGCTGTCCCCGGGCGCCATCTGCTCTGTGCCACCGGAAGAAGACTTGTATGCGTCTGCACCTGCACACAGAACACACAGGCTGTGAACCTCCTGCCCCCAGCTGAGGACACTGGGCAGGAAGGCTGGGTGCCAGGACAAGGGCTGACCCTAGTCCATATACTCAAACACACAAACTGAAACCCACCACACCCGGTACCAAGGAAGCCCAGCGGCACGAAGGGCTGCACCCCTGACTAGCAAACACACATCCCTGTGACTGCATCGGCTACACCAAAGCTGCTCAAATGATCCAGACTATGGGCTGCAATGTGGTCTGTGTTCTATGAATTATTTAACAGAGAAAATTAACTTGCAGGTTTGAAAGCCCAGCTCATGAAAGTAGTCCAAATTAATGGGAACGTAGCCCAAAGTGCTACTGGGAAATCAGACTCAGCGAGCAGGTACCAACCTGCCAGCCATCCCAGCCGACAGCCAGGGATTCCCACAGAAGGGGCGATGCATCAAGCATCAGACATGGGTGGTTCACGAAGTGCACTGCTCACCACAGGGCAATAAAACCTGGCTATACCAGGGAGGCAGCACTGCAGGGGGAGCCAACTAGCAGTGCTTCTGCAGCCATAGAGGTGGGAGGTGCAGACACTGCTTTGGCCTCCTCTGTTCTAGAGGGTATGTGGGAGGTAGCAGCAGGCGAAGCCAGTCCACACCTCTGGAAAGAGATGCACAAAGCTGCCGGGGTTTCAGTGAGGAGGCCAGGAGAAGTGGGCACTTACATTAGATGATGTTGAACACACCAAGAGCAAGTGATCACAGCTCCCAGCTACCTTTTAAACACGAGTCGTCCACACTAATTCAACAACCAGAAATAAGTGATGTAAGCAAAGCAGTACAGGGTGAATTCCAACTTACACCATGCTCTGCACCCAGATCTCAGGAAAGTCAAACCACCTTTGAGAACTCAGCACCATCAATTTGTAAAACATGAGTATTCTTTGTGTCATTCTCAACACTTTACATAAAGAAACGCGATTTGGGGCAGGCATCATGGCCCAGTAGACTAAGCTGCTGCCTGGGACACACATATCCCATATCAGAGTACACACATCCCCTATCAGAGTGCTGGCTCAAGTCTGATGACTCCACTTATGATGCGGTTACCTGCTAATGTGAACCCTGGCAGGCAGCAGATGATGGTCCAAGAACTTGGGCCCCTGCCATCCACAGAGAGACATGAATGCAGTTCTGGGCTCCTGGCTTTGGCCTACCCTGGCCCTGGGTGTTGTGGACCCGTGAGAGGAATGAACCAGCATATGGAAGATCAATCCCCAACACCACCACCACCAAAATCCTATGTGAATAAACATTTAATCATCTATTTCACATTATAGCCAAGACAACAAAGATGGAATCTCTAACCCCAAAACAATGGTTAGTGGCAGATCTACAAATGATTTTGTCAGCCAACAGTAAAAGCCACATGGAGTGTTCTGATCTCAACCAATCACCTGCAGCAAAGAGACAAGAAGACAACTCCTGGAACACCTGAGGCTCCTGTTCACCAGCCAAGCCTGGGAGCCACCTTGATGACTGCCCATACCCCACCTTCTGCAGTGCTACCCTTCCCCCTTTTCAGAGGACGGTGGCCCTTGAAGCACCCAACTGATAACCCCACTGAAAAGCAGGGTCACCTAGAAGAGCTGCAGCTGTGTGGTACTGGTGGAAGGATGGAGACGGCCCAGCTCCAAGGTAACTCAGCAGAAGTCCACGCAACCAGTGGTGCAAGAACAAGTGCAGACCATGCACACAAGGTGAGCCTGACTGCCTCATAGCATAACCAACACAAGCGCAGAGTGGGACAAAAACCTGTGTGTGATAAATCTACAACTGCAACACGGGAACGTGGTACAGTGCCCAGGACCTGGGTTAGTCATAAATTTCTTAAGGTATATAAAGCATGGACCATAAAAGAAAATAATACATAACTTAGCCCAACAAAATATTTTACACCACTGATTTTCTAATGCTGTTAAGAAAATGAAAAAGCAAGCCACAGACAATGCAGGAACATGAGTGCACGCAGGGCATCCACCTGACAAAAGCCATCTACCACTGAACAGAGACCAGTACCCAACCGCCTGAACAGGAGGTGTAGACAGGTGTGCACAGAAGTGAGGACAGGCAAGCTGAGATGGGCAGCCAGCTGTTCCCTCGATGACAGCCAACGGGAATGGCAGCAGACCCTACGGCACTGCCAACAGAGCCATGAGACCAGAAAGCAAGGAAATGAAAGGATCTAAACCTTCATGTGCTGGGCTGAGGGCATGAGAAGGGCTCCTGAGAACAGGCTGGCAGCTTTTCAAAAAGCTAAACACCACACAGCTCAGCCATCACACGCCGAGGTATTCCAAGATAAATAATGCATCTGTGTCGTCAAGACCTGGAACAAATGCACACAGCTGCTCCTTCAGCAATCCAGACTGCAAAGAGTTCAGGTCCAACTACAGGTGAATGGACAAAGAAACCTGGTGTGGCCACACAATGACACAGACACTGGGACACACACACACACACACACACACACAGTGGCTCCATTCACACAGAACACTATCAACTGCTCCGTGGACTGCAGAAGCAGAGGAGCTCAGGGGCTGCCTGGGAAGCAAGAGCAGAGGGCACTGAGGCCACCCAGGATGGCAGTGGTCTCATGGGTCAGCAGGTGGGAAACTCAGCAAACTGCACTTTAACACAACCTCACTGGGTGCGCAGTCCACCTCAGCTGAGCGCTAGCCCTGTGGGTTAGGGGACGTCCTGCAACTCCTCCAACAGCAGCTGATGACCGAAGGACAGCAGCTGCCATGTGGTCCAGGGACAGCCTCCAGACCCCTGCGGTGTGGGGGACGTCCACACGGGACCCAGGATCAGTCACCCTGGAAGGTGCTGAAGCATCCGTCTAGCTCAGTGCTCAGACCCCTGCAGTGTGGGGGACGTCCACATGGGACCCAGGATCAGTCACCCTGGAAGGTGCTGAAGCATCCGTCTAGCTCAGTGCTCAGACCCCTGCAGTGTGGGGGACGTCCACACGGGACCCAGGATCAGTCACCCTGGAAGGTGCTGAAGCATCCGTCTAGCTCAGTGCTCAGACCCCTGCAGTGTGGGGGACGTCCACACGGGACCCAGGATCAGTCTCCCTGGAAGGTGCTGAAGCATCTGTCTAGCTCAGTGCTCAGACCCCTGCAGTGTGGGGGACGTCCACACGGGACCCAGGATCAGTCACCCTGGAAGGTGCTGAAGCATCCTGTCTAGCTCAGTGCTCAGACCCCTGCAGTGTGGGGGATGTCCACACGGGACCCAGGATCAGTCACCCTGGAAGGTGCTGAAGCATCCTGTCTAGCTCAGTGCTCAGAACCCTGCAGTGTGGGGGACGTCCACACGGGACCCAGGATCAGTCTCCCTGGAAGGTGCTGAAGCATCCATCTAGCTCAGTGCTCAACAATGAAGCCTGGGAGGTGTGCAGGGGGTCGTGTGGGATCACCGGAGTTCCTCCAAGTCTTTCCAAGCATTGTTAAAATAGTGGAGCACTCTTTGCAAATGGAATCCTGTGCAGAACCCCAACCCCAGGCCACACCCCACAGCCTGCAGCGTTGCACACAGCCACGCTGCATCTACCTGGCACATTCAGCTTTTTCTTGCTTCTCCGCCTCCGCTTCCTCGCTGGCTTGATCCAGGGGCTGTCAGTCTTCCCTTTCCTCCTGAGAAACTTCTTCTTGATGCTGGACTCAGAACTCTGGAGAACCAAAGGGCAGGCAGGTAAGAGGCAACGCATGGGGAGCTCTTGAAGCAAACCACGAGGAGCCGCTGGCCTACAAAATAAAATGCTTGCTCTATCTCGATTCTTCACCTACAGGATTAATTTCACTTTGATTTGCTCTGAGACATTTTTCTGGGTCATGGTCTAAAGATACCCAGGCCTTTCCCCACACATCTCGCTAAACTCAGTTCCCGTTTCAGTTTCGCACGTGCTAACAGCCTGCAAAGTTCTGCTCAGGAACCAGAGAAGCCAGCTTGGCCAGAGGGACCACATCCCCCAGCCACCAGGCCCACGGAACATTCTGAGATGTTTCCAAGTACATGTTCTTAAAGGGGCATCTAACTGACCCATTTCACAAGTATGTGTGCAGCGTGCACTCCCAGCCCTCCGACACCAGGGAGGCAAGTGTCACACTGGCGTGGACTGAGGGTCTCTTACCTCCTGTGGGTGGTAAGGAGAATCTATGACAACACGCCCAAGAGCCCTTCCAACTGACTGCGCTCCTGTCACTTCCCTCACATGAACCCCCGGAACTGGGCGTCACCCTACTGAGGACGGGCATATCCAACTCCCCTCTGTACAAAAGTCCTCGCTACCCTGTGCTCCCGCCAAGCAGAACTTCTGAAAAGATCTCAATATGTATTACAGCTGAAAGATGGCCTCTCCTCCAACATCCTAAGAAATGACAATTTCCCACCCAACCCAGGGGTCCCCATCCTTTGTAGTTCTCCCCATCTGTCGGCTCGTGGGACCCATGTCTCTGAGCCTTCTCTGCACACCAGAGCCCCCCTTTCAGGACCAGGAGCCAACTCCTCAAAAGCTGGGAAGTGTCCAGGGCTCCCTCCTGGGACCTCACTGCCCTTCCCGTTTCCAAGTTCCCCATCCTGCAGACCTAGATGTGGCTCAGACCTCACCCCCACCACTTAGCCAGCCACCAGTGACAAGAGACTCGGTGTGGAGCCTCATCTGCTCCTGGCCCTCTCCTCCGTGGAACAGCCAACCCAATCTTCTCCCCCAAAGGCTTCAAATAGAACCCTTCCCACCCTCTCCAATCAGTCACTGCAACAGAATCCCTGCACGCTCCTTGACGCCAAGCCCACCCCATGCAGCCAGCAAGTGGGACCACAGATCCTCCTCAGAGCTCAGACAGCCACCCGAACTTGCCCCACATCTGGCTGGTGCCGTCAAGTGTCAGGCCTGGCATCCTGCTACATATAACCTGGGGGTCCCAAGCCCCACTGCCCCCCTCCCCAAGCCGTGTGCCTGTCTCTCTCTGCACAGGCCTCTCTTATCAGCACCCCCAGGTGAGGAACTCCAGTACTCCCAGGGGCTGAGCCCTCCCGGCCCCCACACCAGCTGCAGGAGCTCTTGGTAAACAATGGTGGATGAAGCACTGATTGAGCTTTGGTGCCTTTTGATGCCCTTTGCTGTCAGGCACCAAGCAACGTGCGTGCGTTACCAAGTCAGACTCATCTCCGCCTTCCTCTTCCTCCCCCGTGTCCACTGACTCTGGCTCCTCCTCAGACTCGCCGTCCGCCTGATTACACACGGTTGAGAGGAAAAACCAAACAGAAAACAAACCAATTAGATCCTGTGGTGGCAGATGACTGGATCCACACACGTCTGTACAAACGCACTGGGGTCCATACATGCGGGAGAAGCCCCACCGTCCATCCACTCTGGGCTGGGCTGCCTGGCTGGGACGCAGGAGTCACTGTGTGCCTGTCCAGGCAGAGGAGGAGGCCCTGAGTTCCACCCGCCTGGAGCCCCTGCCAGCAGGGCAGCCCCTTGATGGAATCCCACCATGGACAGAAGGAGGCATCCCCCAGTGTGTGCTCAGGCAAGAATCACCAGGTGGACACCAGGAGAGCATGCTAATGAAGAGCCCTGCAAGTCCCGCATGCCATGTGTAATAAAAAGTAACAAAATACACACAGTGCAAGCCTTGTCAGAGGCCTCGCAATGTACACGCAAGCCCACCCCGAGCCCACTGCAGCTCTAGAACCCTTCTGTTGTGCTGCTCACAGGTCCAGGCACGCACAGGTCCAAGAGGAGCACACATGGTCACACATGGTCTGTGCAAGCAGCAGTGCACAGAACAGGCTTCTGAGAATGCCTCATTCTTCTAACCACACACATGTTTGGGGGAGGAGCCTGACGTGAGGACGCCCACACCCATCTCTGCTCTAGTGGTGGTGGCTCAGGTCACTGGGCTCCTACTGCCCATGTGGGAGACTTGGATGGAGTTCCTGGCTCTCAGTGTCAGCCAGCCCTGGCCATCATGGGCATTTAGGGAACAAACCAGCAGACAAAGCTTGTTCTTTCTCCCTCTCTCTGCGCTCCGATTATAACAATTTTAAAAATGCTTCAGAATTCTTTCTACGTCAGAACAGAGACACCTTATTTTTTTCTTCCTACATGGGGGACATGTGAATACATGCACAGTGCAAAGGACATCAAAGCCTGTGGAGTGTCACTGATGCCACCCCACGGCCTGAGCTGAGTGTGGTCTCTGTGGGCTCTTTCATACCCAGACTCCCCCAGGCCCTGACAGCCATGTCCCTCCAGCAGCAACAAGCAAGGATGGAAGGTGGAGCCAAACACGAGATTCCTGAGTCCAAGGACACGTAGCTCCCCAGCCGAGGTCCCGCCAATCTGCCCAGAGGCTCACTGCTCCCAGGACCTCCCCCCCCCCCCCCCCCCCGAGAACAGAGGAGCTGAGCGTTTCCAATTGCTTCACTGCACTTTCTATGTTCTGATTCTTGCACAGTCATCGCCTCGTTTCTCTATGGACTCTAGCTTTCAGACACATGAGCATGTGCGTGTATACACACAGAGCTTTTTTGTTAAGTAAATTATCGCTATTTTTCCTGTCAAGTTTGAGCTATGCTGCTGATACTTCTTGCCACATAAAACCTAAATTTTATCTGAGCGATTCAAAGGTGTCCGTACTTCCTGTGGCTTCCCGGTCTGCCTCTAGCGACAGAAGGCCTGCCTTCCTTTCTTCCTTTGTTCCAGGGAATAGGAAAGAGCCTCCTAACAATTTTCTTTCATATTTCAAAATTGTATTGATACTTTGTATCTTCCTGGGTTTACTTTTTAAAATAACAGCTATAGTAAGGTATAATGCAAATTACTCTAAAACAGATCTCAGTGCGTTTTTAGCCCTGACAGGGCTGGGCAGCCTCACCTCTACCTTGCTCCAGAATGGAGGCTCTCTCTGTTATTTTCTAATTAGTTAGTTAACTCCATCCCTCCGCCCCGCGTCAGCTGTCCTAGGAATGCTACAAAGATCACCAACTCTTACAGTCAGCTGCATCTTCTTGTAGAGATGTATAATCTGTTACACATCCCCCGCCCCTTCATTAACTGCCCTTCCGAATAAGGGCCCACGGCAATGCTCGTCCAGCATGGTCAACGTTCACTACTCTGCTGCACGCCGTTCCTGTGACAACCACATCAACTTTAGGATCAGTAGCTCCTCCAAAAGGCCTGCTGTGATTTTGATGGCAAATGTCCTGAAATTATAGCTAAAGAGAGATGATAAACAATAGATCTCTCATTCAAACAATGGGTCTTTTCATAAACTTAGATCTTTCTTAAAACCTCTTTCAGTTACGTTTTAGCTTTCTTCTTCTTGTAAAGATACTTTCTGTTAAACTTATTCCCAGGCACTTTGATGATACTAACAGATTCAGCTATTTTTCAGGTGTGATACTGTGGTTTGCTTTTCAGAGGCCTTATCATTTAAGCACCAACACTGAAGATGTCCACTTCTAGACGACCTCAGCACATGGGAAAGAACAAGCCAACTGCTGGTCACAGTTCACTATTCTCTCTATGTTGTATATTCTGAAGTTTTCTACTTAGACACAGCTTTAGAGATACCCTTAGGCCTTTACTGACATTACTGATACGCCGATTTTACACTTTCTGACTGACTGTTACAGTTACAAAGGAAAACAAGCCGATTCCTGGACTCCAGGACAGTGCCCTGGTCTCAGCACAGTACCCGCCTTGTCCACTGAGGCACTGAGGCTTCTCCCCAGCTCTGCCCTGCAGCATCATCAGGGACAGTCAGCACTGTGTCTACCCAGGAGAGTGATGGGTGCCCTCCTTCCCACACTCATCAGGGAAAATGCTCGGAAGCTTTCACTGTTAAATATAAACCTTTTTTGTATGATTCCAACATATTGAGTCAGCTTTTAGCGTTGTTTTTTTTTTTTTTTTTGAACCAAATTTGAGCAATGAATCCACCAATTAGAAAAGGCAGATTAACAACATACTGAACTCCATTTCCTTCTAAAACACCACTGATGTGATGATAAAGGAAGGAAAAAGGCTTACTTCATACAAGGTTGGTTGATTACTGGAAAAGACAGCTGTGAAGAAGAGGCATAAGCTGAAAATCCAAGGAAACTGGAATGAGAAGGGTGGCTGACATAAGAAATAAGTGAATAAAAAGGAAACCACAGTCTGACGTATGTGAGCTGAGAGTGGAGACCTAAGGAGGCTCAGCAGAGGCCAGACCAGGAGCAGGCATGGCCACTCCCACACTGACAGGCACCAAATTGGCATCAGACCCCAGGACACACCTCATGGCATCACAGTGCTGAGACCAGCTCCCAATCTGAAGGCCCTCACCACAGAATGGACCACCCAGAAGGAAGACACCATGCCAACTACCCACATGGTCAGGGCTCATTCCCAGACCGCTGGGCTCCTACAACCTGCTTCTGGAAAAGGACAGACTTGTATTGGCATTTCAAAAAAGAAAGCAACAAAGTAGCAAGTGTTGATAAGCATGAAAAAGAACAACTCTCAGAACCTGTGAGAGTTGCCGGCGCCGCGGCTCACTAGGCTAATCCTCCGCCTAGCAGCGCCGGCACACCAGGTTCTAGTCCCGGTCGGGGTGCCGGATTCTGTCCCGGTTGCCCCTCTTCCAGGCCAGCCCTCTGCTGTGGCCAGGGAGTGCAGTGGAGGATGGCCCAGGTGCTTGGGCCCTACACCCCATCGGAGACCAGGAAAAGCACCTGGCTCCTGGCTCCTGCCATTGGATCAGCGCGGTGCGCCGGCCGCGGCGGCCATTGGAGGGTGAACCAACGGCAAAGGAAGACCTTTCTCTCTGTCTCTCTCTCTCTCACTGTCCACTCTGCCTGTCAAAAAAAAAATAATAATAATAATAATAAAAAATAAAAAGAACCCGTGAGAGTGCACATCTGAACCACAGCACAGCAGCACTGGACACCCACGCCCACGAGGCAGCCAGCCCCCAGCCTGGGAAGCCAGCATAGCGGAGGGCACGCCAGGTGGGCTGAAACAACTGTCCTGGAAAACAGAGGCAGCGACCACTGATGCTGACACAGCCATGGTCGGCTCACTCCTGAGTGTGCAACCAGGGAACAAGGGCATGCTGGGGAACGCTGGCAGACCTCAAGGAGAGAGAAGCCCAGTGCCCATCACCAGTGCAATGGACTCTTGAACTCCCAGGAGCCGGAGTCAGAAGCCATGTCCAGATGTTGAACCCAGGCAGTCCGATGCAGGACAGACTAGGCCAAGCAGCTGCCCATGACTAATATCTGACTGAAGACTGTTGTATTTAGGGTGTTACATGAATTCAGCCTGAAGTTTAGTCATTTTATGTGCCAATGTACTTTTTTTCTTCTCTATTCTCCAGAATGGTTTACATAATAAAAACATGACTGTTTACTGGTTTCGCTGATACATTTGGATTTTTCCTGCCATAATTTGTTTTCCATTGATCAGATTTTCCTCGATTCCACTTGTGCTCACTGTTGCTTTTGCAGACTTGACAGCCATTAAACTTCCTACTTTTGTCTCAACAGCTGCAGTCATTCAGGGTAATTCAGTGTCCAGAGTCTCTCTAGGACATGGGAACCTCTATCAAAAGACCCAAGCCAGAAATAGATTCGAATTCATAGGCCACATGGTATGTGATAAAGGTGGCACTTTAGATCAGCAGAGGAAACAAATGTCAGTCAATAAAGGGCTGCAATAAGGAAGACAGCCAAGCAGAGGCCCCACACCGGCTGCCTCCTCTGCAGAGAAGGACCAGAAAACAAAGGCGCAGCTGCCCGTTTCGATGCGTGGTACTGGAACCCAGCACGGGAGGGGCAGGAACCCTGGAAGCCATGAAGACCTCAGCTGGCAAAGACTAGACAACTGCAACCCAGGCTCCCAGGCTCCCGGGCTCCCGGGCTGCTCTTCTCATTCTAAGGTCAAGGGTGAATGGACAGGCCCAGTGCAGCCTGGAGCAGAGCACATCAGCAGTCCAGCATCAGGAAAGTTCCAGGCACCACAAGCTTGCAGAGTGTGGCTTCCTGGGGTCTGCAACTGGAATTGAATTAGTCTCCCCTGAACCAGAACCCACAGTGCCACAGCATGGCCCCACACAGGGACACAGCCGTGCCACCACTCTGCCATCAGCTGAACCACTGCTCTTGGACTAAACAATCCTGCAGCTGGCTCTGACCAAGGACTTGTGTCCACACGGGGAGCCCCTCACCAACACGGTCA